GGGGAGTCGTGTAGGGGTCCATAATGACCTCTCTTGGGGCCATGTGGAATCCGCTTGGGGTCATCTCGAGGCCCTGGGATCTCTTGGGGGGCTTCTCGCGGGACTCTTGGAGGCAGTTTCGAAGCCTCTTGGGGGCCGTTTTGAGGCCGTTTTGTAGCCTCTTGGGGGCCTCTTGGGGCCTCTTGTGGGCGTCTTGGGGGCCTCTTGGGGCCTCTTGGGGCCTTCTGGGGCCGTCTTGGGGCGGAAGGCTCGAATTGTCGGTTCGGGCTCCCCCTCTTGGGCACCTTTTGGGGCTGTCTTGGGGCCCTCTTGGGCTGTCTTGGGGGCCTCTTGGGCCGTCTTGCCGCCCTCTTGGGCCGATTTGGGCGCCTCTTGGGGGCCTCTCGGGGCGGTCTTGGGGTGCTCTGGGACCGTCTTCAACGCCGTGAAGGCCGACAGGTAGTATATGATCAAAATGTACGTTTTCCCATAGGAATTTTCACGATTTTCGGCGCTTCGGCCCTTCTCAGGACTGCTCTTGGAGGCCTCTTGGGCCGTCTTGGAGGCCTCTAGGCTCGTCTTGGGGGCATCTTGGGCGTCTGGGAGCGCTCGTCTGGCGCCTCGGAGCTCTCGTGAGCCGTCTTGGAGGAGTCTTGGGGCCTTCTTGGCCCGTCTTGATCCCCTTTTGGGCCCAAAAGAGCCCCGTGATGCGCTCGTGGTGGGCCCGGGGGGGGGGGGTTCGAATCTCCGGTTTGGTGTCCCAGGGGGGGGGTTAGGGGGGGGGGACTATCTCACACGCCTAGAGACCCACAAGGGGTCGGCGGATATCGGTGATGGTGATGACGATGATGGCGATGATGACGATGACGATTACGATGATGGTGATGGTCACATCGTGACGGCGATGATGCTGGTACTGATGATGATCGCGATGATGATGATAATGATGACGATGATGATGAGGACGATGGCGATGACGTTGATGATGATGCTGATGATGATGATTATTATCATTAGTCTGATCATGGTGATGTTGTTGATGATGACGAAATGGTAAGGCTCTTGATAGTTCTGACGCTGATCATGGTGGTGGTGATGATGATGATGATGATGCTGGTGATGCTGGTGATGCTGACAATGCTGCTGCTGACATAGTGCTGTCTGACATATTGCGAAGGCCTTACGGCCGGTGCCGCCGACCCTGGAGGCCTCGCCCCTCGACGGAAATGGGAGGGAGAGGGCGGGCCGGGAGGATGATATTCTGACCCAGGACCCCCCTCGGGAGCACCCCTTGGGACCCCCCCCTTCCGCGGGGAAGGGATCAAAGGGAAGGGGCTTCCCTTCGACTCAATGACAAAGTTGCCATATTTCGCTGTGGATGATATTTCGCTTTGGCTGGCGTGCTTGAGGACGAGGGCCCAAGGTAAGGGGGAGAGCGGCGACGGACTCAGGAGAAGGAGGGGACGTGATGGCGGCGGCGACGCGACGGCGGCAGCGACGGCGATGGCGACGGAACAGCCCCTGTCATTCGCCGACACGGTCGGCGGATTTTGTTGATCAAGTGGCCGGCATTCGACGTGTGCACGCGCGCTCAAGCATGTCGGATGGGCGCCGTGCGGCCGCTGCATCAGTCATGAATCACTAATGCTGATCCGATTCCAAGGCTGGCGGGCCCTCGCGACGGCAGGACATCGCTCCTTGCAACCTGATCGTTTTCTTCGCCCTGTTCGTGTTCTCCGCAGGTGCTGGTTGCGTGGCACTGCGGCTTCATAGTCGTCGTGGTCCCTCACTGCGCCAACATTCGATGGCAGTGCCTGGATCTCATCCCGGCCAGTGCCCCGTGACCGTGATGGGCACTCTGCAGAACGGATGGCTGGGATTCGCGATGTGCTTGAGCGCCCTGGTCAACACTTGCCGTCTACCGCTTGGGGCCCTTTGGCGCGGCGCTGCGCGGCAGAGCAGGACATCAATTTTTTGGCAATGGCAGTTGGTGTGTGCCTTCTTGTCTTCTCGGATCCGCAACGGCGACAAACTCGCTGCGATACGAGCCTTCTGGAGCTGTTGGTTACACTCGCTGCAGCACGCCTTCGCAGAGCCCTTCAAGAATCACACGCTGGCTGGGCCCTTCCGCATGGGCGCGTCGAGTACTTCGCCCTCTTCCTGCCGACGTTGCTGAGACAATTGCGCACGTCGGTGGCGTTTGGGACATTGCCGTTCGTCGCGCACTTTCTGGAGAGGACTCGTGTGGCAGTCACGTGTCACGTGTATGCCCTCTTCGGCCACTCCACGCTTTACGTCGGCAAGGCCAACGGGCGCCGGGCCAATGGGCAGCCGGGCCTCAAATCCAGGCTCGCGGAGCATCTGCGCGGAGTGTTCCGTCCAGACAGTCGTGTTGGGCATCTCCAGCGATATCGTTTATTGCTACGGTCGGTCGGGAGCTTGTGCTTCCTGCCTTTGGTCAGTGTTGGGTCTGAGTCCCGAGCGCTGGCAATTGAGACCCCAATCGTACGTGTAGTGCAACCACCTACCTGCAAACCGCGGGGATTCCAAAACATACCGCCAACGCCTACGCCAAACCGTTCGCCCTTTTCGGAGTCTTCATCTTCGCCGGCCTCCACCCAGATTTCGTCGGGTGCGGGGTTGTGTTGCAAGCATTTGTGTTTAAAAATGCGTTCTGGGTTTTATTGAAAAGGCGTCTGCTCGACTTGACCGGCCTCCAATCCTACAGGTTGGAGGTGCGTTTCGTGACATGCACCGCGATTCCCAAAGGGAGGTATTGATCACGACGGGGACGATCGGCCCTTTGAACATATTCGTTCCTAGCTCCATGCCTCCTTTTCTGTCTAGGTGTTCGAAACGGGATTCATCTCCCAGCCTGGAGCTTCGAGGAAAAGGCATTTTGGTTGTGCGGAGCTCTACGCGACATTCCGGTTGTATTGCGAGGCCGACATTCACAGTGTCATGCACGCAGTAAGATTGTGTTTTTTTTAATTGCGAAGGCTGGATTTGCCTCCGCCGTCATTGCGTTTTTCCGCGTGTGGTTCCTGCTGGGAGAGGTGGTGTTGCGTTTTTCTGCTTGGGAGAGGTGGTGTTGCGCAGCTCGTGAACATCCACGCGTCCGAGGCGAAGGCCGTAACGCCATGTCGCGCTTCACTGGTAAGCGTCGTCTTCCTCCTGTGCCGCAGCCGTGTAAGGCTGTGAAGCACAGCGTGAGTTCAGCTTGCACGTTCAGCGGGCCTCTCGCACGTGATGAGAAAGATCCTTCAAACGTTTGGCAAGTTAATTCGGATGAGGTTGTTTTGAAATGCTGAACGATATGATCACCGATCCTGGTTGGAAGCTCATGCCGCTGTCCCCCAACGACGTCACGGCGTGGATGCATGCTCGCTCTCTCCTTGGACTTCCACATCATTTACGGCGCGCTAGAGGCGACAACGTTCAGTCTCCTTGTTCTTTCAGGTGAAGAGCAAGTGCTACAACGATGGCAGGGTGAGGGTTCGCACGAAAGCTGGTCATAGCTATTGGTGGCGCATCATTGGTTTCAGCCGCGCCCCGCACAAGGCAGGGTGGAGGACAATTGCACGTCCTATCCGTGGGGTCCTATCCCACAGCGGGTGTTCGCACAAGGTATTCGTCATGGCGCGTGCGGGTGGTGCTGTCGAATCCTTTCTGGCGCGAGTTTCTAAGCAAACTTCACGAGCTGCTGCCAGTGCGGGCGGGATTTGCGCGACCGCGTGGACGTAGCGCGTAGCAGTCCCCGATCACGTGTTCGAGGCTTGTGAGTCGCCAGCTGTCAGGCAAGACTGGCTTTTATTGTCGACGGCTGCCGTCGAGGCATGTGATTCGACCTCAGTGCTCGTGAAACGGGGCCGTGTCACCGCACACCAGTATCCGAGCAAGGGGTTCCGGCCATCATGCGCGAGTTGGTGGCGACATGTTTTGGTTCGTTGGCATGTCTGGGGTCGAAGGTTGTTCAGATGCAAAGATTCGCGATCGGTGGGGTGATGTCAGCTACCGCTGTATCGGTCCACTTCGGGGCAGAGAAATTTCGTTTCGACTCACACGGGGACGGCGGACTTGCCCAGAGGCTTCCGGAGACTGAATTCCAGTTCGGCTCCCACTCGCGCCAGGATATGATCGATCGGGGCAGGTACGTTGACGACCTTATCGATGTATCTCAGTGTTTCTGTTCCGATGGCGTTCACCTGTACATGCAGCTGTGTTTCGCGGCGAAGTTCAGTCCAGCTCATCCCTTGCACGGGGGGCAAGGAGACAAATTCGAGTGGACCGAGCAGGGCTCTGGTTTACACCATCAAGAATCCGAACCAAGATTGGCTCCATGGTCGTGGCCCGCGCGCGCGGTCAACGCTGCTTCGTTGGCCCGGGGCTTTGCGCAGCCGAATGAAGGACGTCGAGGTGGGTAGATATGTTCCTCCCCCCTTTGCTCTCGCACAGCCTCCCAACGTGCTGTCCGACGTAGTATGTTGGTCAAGTGGCCGGCATTCGACGTGTGCACGCGCTTCCAGGCATGTCGCATGGGCGCCGTGCGGCTTCTGCACAAGAAAGGGAGTTCATGAATCACTAATGGTGTTGCTGGTGATGATGGTGAGTGATGCTGATGATGGTGGTGATGTGATGTTGGTGATGATGACGGAGTCGCTGCCAATGAGGATGAGGATGATGATGACGATGATAATGGAGATGTGGAAGGAGGAGGGAGAAGGGTGGAGGAGGAGGAGGAAGAGGAGGAGGAAACATGATGATGAAACAGTAGGATAGTACTGATGGTGGATAACAGAGGAGGAGGAGGAGGTGGTGGAGGAGGAGGAGGAAGGAGGAGGTGGATTGAGGATGATAAGCGAAGAAGAAGATTGAGGAGGATAATCAACGAGGAGGAGAAGGAGGTGGAGGAGGAGGAAGGGAAAGAGGAGGAGAAAAAGGAGGAAGAGGGACGGTGGCGAGGGGAGGAGGGAGGACGAGCCTCCGTGGCCACCGCGGCCTTGGCCGCCCCAGCCAGACAGGGAGCCTTGGACGCGAGCGCCTCGCGGCCCTGTCGCCCAATGTGGAGTACCTCGTGCGGCAGCCGCCCGAGGACCACCGGGCCCCCGAGTGCCGGGCCCAGCACGAGAAGTTGAGGGCCATGTCGGGCCTTCGGTAGCGGGGGTCAGCCACGCGCAGAAGGGGGGTGGGGGGGAGGTGGGAGGGCCTCTCAGAAGCACCCCTGCTTCTAAGAAGGCGCGGGCCTCACCTACACGAAGGATTGCAAAAAAACGAAGGATTGCAAAAAAACGAAGGTTTGTTTGCAAAAAAACGAAGGGTTGTTTTGCAATCCTTCGTTTTTTTTGCAATCCTTCGTGTAAGAACGGCGCCTTCTGAGAAGCAGCCTCCTTGTAAGAAGCCCTCCCCCCTCCCTCCGCCCCTCTGCGCGCGCCGCCAAGGGGGGAGGAGGAGGAGGAGGAGGAGAAGGAGGAGGAGGAGGAGGAGGAGGAAGACGAGGAGGAGGAGGAATATGAGGAGGAGAAGGAGGAAGAGGAGGAGGAGGAGGAGCAGGCAGCGTTGCAGGGGACACGCTCAGGGGGGACTGCGTCGACCTCGGCTTGCTCATTTCTCGCCGATAAGGGGCCCCATAGCCCATCCATCCCAGGACCGTGCGGATGTGCTCTCGGTGACAATCGCCGATCTATCGGCGATGTATCGCCGATTCCCGGCCGATGCGTCTCCCCCTGAGCCGCTCCAGCGCTCCCCTCTCAAATCAACGGAGGGGAGTCCAGGGTTACAGGAACGTGGCCCTCAATGGCCCCTAAAGTGCCACCGTGGCCTCAGAAGGTGGTGGAAAGGTGCAAGTTCGGTCCCCCCCCCGTTTATCCCCCCCCCCTGCTACCAAGCGCCCGAGCCATGCCCGCCGGAGTGCTGCCGAACACTTCCAGTTGGCGGCTCGCACAAAAGGGTGTTGGCGCGAGAGGGTTGGGCCTTCTAGAAAGGCGGGGTGCCTCTTGGGAGGCAGGGGGGGAACCCGTTTAGAGCCCAAACGCGGGGGGTCGGAGAGGCCAGAATGTCTTCTAAGGGGAGGCTCTCCGTGCTTCACAGGAGGCCCCCCCCCTTGCACCACCTTCTTGTGCGCGGCGCCATCCCGTCATCTTTACTTTCTGCAACGAGCCCGCGCACTCCCTCTACAACTCGGTGTACTCGGTGATCGAGCGGTCGCCCCGGCACCTGCTGCACGAGTTCATCCTGGTGGACGATGGCTCCGACGCGAAGCACATCAAGAAACCCTTGGAGGAGGGCGGATGCCTCCTGCCTTTTTATGGGTTGCAGGAGGAACGGAGGAGGAACGCAGGAGGAGGAGGAGGAGGAGGAGGAGGAGGAGGAGGGGGAGGGGGAGGGGGAGGAGGAGGAGGAGGAGGAGGAGGAGGAGGAGGAGGAGGAGGAAGAGGAGGAGGCATCATGGGTTATTGTATCCATCTCGGGGTGAGTGTCTGCGGGCGGTGCCGCCCGTCGCTGCCGTCGCCGCCGCCGCCGCCGTCGCTCGCCGCTCGGGGCGAGTGGCGGTTTCTGCGGGCGGTGCCGCCCGTCGCCGCCGACGCCGTCGCCGTCGCCGCCGCTCGGGGGGTGCCGCCCGTCGCCACCGTCGCCGTCGCATAGATTTTTACCTTTCCAAAAACAATAAATAGACTCCCCCCCCCCTCCCCCGGAATTATCGATTCCATTTTTCGTATTGCAATGTGCGCATGTTTCTGCCCCGTCGTCCATCTTAAATTTGATCTCGCACCATCCCATGGGTGCCGGTATCCGCCCCCCCCGCCATCCTTTGCAACAAATGCTATGCGCGCGCACTCGTTTATCAAAAAGAAACGAAATGCACACGCGCGTGCGCGTCGTAGCGCGCGCATGCCGAAATATTTCAAGAAATGTCGGTTTCGAAAGGAATTTCAAATCGAGTGTCCAACAAACATATAAAACGACAAGGGTTCGCAACACGGGTTGACAAAAACAACTTGCGCACTCTTGCGAATTCATAGTAAAACCATTGTTGTTTAGCATGTTCATAATATTATACCAAGCGGGTTTCGCGCGCGCGTGTCGAAATCGTTCGAACGTCTTTGCGCGCGCGCCGTCGCGAACATCTGTTGCAACAAGTGAGACGAAGTGCGCGCGCGCGTCCTCGCGCGCGCGTGCCGAAATCTTTCAACAAAAAATCAGGCGCCGTAGCGATTTCAAAACCGAGTGCCCAACAAACTAAAATCATGGTTTCGCAACGCGAGTTTTCAAACAAAAAAGCGTGCGGTCGCGTTCTTGCGAGTTCTTAAGAAAACCATAAGGTGTTCGACATGCGCATTGATTTTTGCCAAGCGGGCCTCTAGCGCCGAATGCCGACATCATTCGAATGCCCTTGCGCGCGCGCGGGGAGGGGCACGATCGGCGTCAAATAATGCCACGCGGGCCACTCTCGCGCGTCGGCCGCGAGCGCGTGTCGAACTCTTTCCGAGATTTTCATCCGACGCGAGGACGCCGTCATCGTCGTCGGCGCGATCAGCAGCGCCGCCCGCGCTGGCGGCGCCGTCGTCGTTGTCAACATCGCCACCAGCATCGGCGCCATCACATTATCGCGCCCACCGCTGTCAACGTTGCCATGGTACCGCGCCCGCCCAAGTCGCCGACTCGCAGCGAAGTGCCCGCTGGGGCACGGTGCGCCCAGCGGTCGGCGCCACCGCGGCCGCGTCGGTCGCGCCTGACCAGCCGGCCGCTGCGCGCGCGCGTTTGGGTTGGCGCGGCCGCGGAGATGAACCGGCCCACGCCGCGCATGCGTCGCCATCACCACCGCGTAAGTTTTACAAACCAACTTGCGGGCCGGCTGGCTGGATGGTTGCGCGAGCAGTGGAGATAATCAAACGCGGCGCAGAGCAAGCAATTGCGCCGCGTAGATTGCACCGCGTAAGCTGCATTGCACAGGTTGCAAGCCAAGTTGCGGGTGAGTGGGCGGGATGTTTACAAGAGCATGCAATGTGTCAATTGGTTTGTGGAATTCATTTCCACCGCGTAGATTCCCATTCTAAAAAAAGAGTGGGCTTTGCCCCCCCCCCATCCAGGATGATCCCTTTTTGTGTTCCGCATTGTAATGTGCGCGCGATTCTGCCCCATCGTCCATCCTACAAAAAAAAATGAACCCGCGCCGCCTCAGGGGGGGCCGGCATCGGCCCACCGCCCCCATCATTTGCAATGGCGAAAAAAAAAAACCGGATCCGCGCGCTGGCGCATTTATCAAACATCAGTTGTTCAATATTCTCTGAAAGATGGGACGAGGCGCGCGCGCGCGTGTTCGCGCGCGCCGAACCTCTTCAGGAGAAATTCGGTTTGGCGCGGGTTCTCAAATCGAGCGCCCAACAAACATATTTTTGTGATAAGTTCAAACGCACGGGCGCGCGCGCGCAAGGTTTCGCAACGCTGACCTTCAAAGCAAGCCTGTGCGCGCTCTTGCGAATTCGGAAAGGAAGCAGCGTTTTTTCATGTGTTTCAGAACGTGCCGCCAAATGGGCATCGCGCGCGCTGGTCAGAATCGCGCGGGTGCCCTTGCGCGCGTGCCGTTGCGAGAATCCGTTGCCGCGAATGGGGCGAAGCGCGCGCGCTCGCGTTTTCGCGCGCGTGCCGAAATCCATCGCGCACTTCCGGCGTCGCAGATATTTCAAAACCGAATGTCCTGGACAACATGCAAACTCACATGGTTTCGCAACATCGGTTTTCAAAACAAAGGCGCGCGCTCCCGCTCCTGTGAGTTCTTAAGAAAACCATGGGCGTTCAATCTTTGCCCGTGGAATTTTGCCAAACATGCCTGTCGCGCCGCATGCGGACTGGGGGCGGCACGATCCGCGCCCAATAGTGCCATGCGCGCCGCTCTCGCGCATCGGCCGCGCGCGCGTGTCGAACTCCTTCCAAGACATGCATCGCCGACGCGAGGGCGCCGTCATCGTCGCCAGCGCGATCAGCATCGGCGCCCGCACTGGCCGCGCCGTCGTCGTTGTCAACATCGCCGCCAGCATCGGCGCCATCACATTATCGCGCCCGCCGCTGTCAACGTTGCCATGATACCGCGCCCGCCCAAGTCGCCGACTCGCAGTGAAGTGCCCGCTGGGGCGCGCCCAGCGGTTGGCGCCACCGCGGCCGCGTCGGTCGCGCCCGACTAGGCGGCCGCTGCGCGCGCGCGTTTTGGGGCGGCACGGCCGCGGAACTGCGCCGGCCAACGCCGCGCGCGCGTCGCAATCGCCACCGCGTGGGTTTGCAGACCAAGTTGTGGGCGGGTGGGTGGGCGGGATGTTTGCGAGAGCATAGGATGTGTCAACTCGTTTGTTACAGACTGCGCCGCATAGACTGCGCTGCATAGGTTACACCGCGCAGGTTCTTTTCCCTTGCAGGAAAAATTGTTACCTCCCCCGGGATGATCGCCCCCCCCTTTCCGCATTGCAGTTTACATATGATTCTGCCCCATCGTCCACTCTAAATATAAATTCGCGCCATCCCAGCCCAGCTGGCACCTGCCCCCCCCCCTTCCGCCATCCTCTGCAACGAATGTTTTGCGCGCGCATTCGTTTATCGCAAATCATTTGATTGCAAGAATCCCCGCGCGCAGAATTGACCGAAGTGCACGCGCGCGCGTCGTCGCGCGCACATGCCGCAATTCCTCAAAAACATTCGGCTTCGGAAGGCAAGCCTCTCCCCGGGCCAGGCCGGTCGGTTTCCGCGCGTTCCGGACTGGTCGGTCGGTCCGGCCTGGTCGGTCTGCGATGCTTTCGGCGTCGCCGGTCCGGGCCCGTGAGTTCGCGCGCCGATTTGATTTCTCCGGGGGGGGGCTCCGCCGGCGCGCGCCGGCGCCAGCGACAGGACGGGGGCGAGGACGAGGAGGAGGAGGACGAGGAGGGGGGGGAGGGGGGGGAGGATGAGGGGGAGGAGGAGGAGGAGGAGCAAGGGAGGAAAAGGAGGAGGAGGAGGAGGGCGATGGGGGAGAAGGGGGGGAGGAGGAGGAGGAGGAGCAGCAGCTGGCGGGGGGCAGGAACAGGAGCGCTACCCCCCTGCCGAGGACCGCGCCGAGGTTCGAACCTC